TCATTATTGTAATCACTGACACCAATGTTGGGGGCTATTATTGTAATCACTGACACCAATGTTGGGGGTTATTACTGTAGTCACTGACACCAATGTTGGGGGTTATTATTGTAGTCACTGACACCAATGTAGGGGGTTATTATTGTAGTCACTGACACCAATGTTGGGGGTCATTATTGTAATCACTGACACCAATGTTGGGGGCTATTATTGTAATCACTGACACCAATGTTGGGGGTTATTACTGTAGTCACTGACACCAATGTTGGGGGTTATTATTGTAGTCACTGACACCAATGTAGGGGGTTATTATTGTAGTCACTGACACCAATGTTGGGGGTTATTACTGTAGTCACTGACACCAATGTAGGGGGTTATTATTGTAGTCACTGACACCAATGCTGGGGGCTATTATTGTAATCACTGACACCAATGTTGGGGGCTATTATTGTAATCACTGGCACCAATGCTGGGGGTCATTATTGTAGTCACTGATACCAATGTAGGGGGTTATTATTGTAGTCACTGACACCAATGTTGGGGGCTATTATTGTAATCACTGACACCAATGTAGGGGGTTATTATTGTAGTCACTGACACCAATGTTGGGGGTCATTATTGTAATCACTGACACCAATGTTGGGGGCTATTATTGTAGTCACTGACACCAATGTAGGGGGTTATTATTGTAGTCACTGGCACCAATGTTGGGAGTCATTATTGCAGTCACTGGCACCAATGTTGAGGTTAATATTGCAGCCACACTGACACAAATGCTGGGGGGTTCTTTTGCAGTCCATGTTTTGGATGTATACACATCAAGTGCCAGAAAATGGATCTTTAGTGCACTTCCTATTCTGGTGATTTGGTGCAGTAAAACGTGACTGCAATAGTAGGAGCTACACAGCAACAGAAGTTGTTGCTGATACACACAAAAAGGTGGCCCTTAAAAAGGACCGTTGGGTCTATTTGCTGTGAAATGCACCACAATGCAAATTAGTTATGGAGCATTGAACAGCACAGTGAGCACGGGGGAGGGGGGTTGGAGGGTTGGGGGAGTGGGCACACTCCATTCTCTGTAGCCCACCACACTGCAATTCTCTGTAATGAAGCACCATATAGCTCTGTAGGTAGCACTATACAGCAGTCACTATTTCTCCCTGAAATTGCTCTGAATGTCAGCTGTCCCTGTCTACTCTACCCAGAGGCGGCTCTCTAATTAGGCGAGTTAGGCGGTCGCCTAAGGCCTCGCGCTCACGAGGGCCTCACGGCCGCCTAGCTCGCCTCTACAGCTTCAACTAACCTGCCTCTGGTCAGTCCGCCCCTGGGCCAGGAGGGAGCACCCATTTCCTCATGGGGAGAATGAGGGCCGGCAATTCCCCTGCACCGCAACCCCCCTCCCCCTTCCTGGATCTGTCACTGAAGAGAGAGGGAGAAGCTGCGCGGCGGGACTTCAGACGCGGCTTCTCCCTCTAGTACTGACGGAACTACTTCCGCCACTTCACTTCATCCTTTCCTGCAGAGGAGAGAGCCCGCCCCCGGCGTGTCGTGAGGATGCAGAGGCTTCTGCAGCAGCCAGCGGTGACATTGTAGGAGGGCAAGGATGAGGCAGATAGCGGCGGTGGGACACCGGGAGTTGACCCCTCGATCAGGAGCCGTGACTGCATGGAGTTCATGTCAGTGAAGCACCCTTCTTTTATTTTTTTCTGAAGTTTTTTTTTTCCACTGTGTTTTTTGGTCACTTTGTTTTTGGGGTGGGGGGGGGTGGTGGTGCATTGAACTCAATGGCACCGCAGCCACGCCCCCCGCCCGCAGTGTGATCTCCGGCACCCAAACGTGTGACAGATTAGTGCATGCGTTCCCGTCCAGTGCGATCTGCAAAAATGCTGCATGCACTGTTTTGTGCAGATTGCACTGGATCGGAACGCAGGCACTAATGTGTCATGCATTCGGGTGCCGCGATCGCACTGCGGCCAGGAGGAGTGGCTGCGGTGCCATTGACTTCAATGCACCGTCACACCCTCTCCCACCCCAGAACGCAGGGGTAAGTTTTGTGCGTGATTGCGGTGCGTTCCAGCAGCTACTGCTCTTGAACGCACTGTAATTGGTGTGAACAAGCCCTAAGGGCCCAGTCCCACCCTAAGGAGTGCGTTCGGCCTCTGGGATGCACTGGAACGCAACCCGGCCGGCTCACTTTGTTTTGGGGAGCGGTGGTGCATTGAACTCAATGGCACTGTAGCCACGCCCCCCGCCCACAGTGCGATCTCCGGCACCGAAACATGTGACACATTAGTGCATGCATGGTCCTGTGCAATCTGCAATAATGCTGCATGCACTATTTTGTGCAGATTGCACTGTACCTTAACGGAGGCACTAAAGTGTCATGCATTCGGGTACCGCGATCGCACTGCAGCCGGGGGGCGTGGCTGCTGTGCCATTGAGTTCAATGCACCACCATGCCCACTCCCGCCCCAAAACAAAGTGGGCCGGCCAGGATGGTGACGGATCATACGTGATATACTGTAAGGCACCCAGGACACGGTGACACGGCCACTTCTAAACAGACATCTGGGTACAATTTACAGTGTTTATAGAAAGTATTTCCCCCCCTCCCCCCCCCCCTCCGGCAATTTGATCATTTTTTAAATGTATTTTAAGCATGCATTTTTCTATTCTGAAAGCACCGCTCTTTGTAAAATAGAAAAATGCATGCTGGAAAACAAAACAAAAACGATCATTTTTTTTTTTCAAATACTGTTGTCTTTGTTCAACACCTGCTGCTAAAACTTTTAATATGGGGGCTATTCACAAAGGTGTCATAGGCAGCCGAGTGAATAACCGACCTGAATAGCCAAACCGACCTGTTCGGCTATTCACTTCTGGCTTGCACGGCTGATTTCAGCCGTACACCGAATATAGTCAGCCGTACGTCGGCTTGCTGCGGCTGGCTTCGGGTCGGCCAAACATGCTCAGCATGTTCAGCCGACCCGGAGTGCAGAGCGAGTTTGACTCAGCCGATCCAACATCTGGATCGGCTGAGCCGAACCTCCGGCAGGCTACTCACTGCTGTTCGGCCGATTCTCATAGATGCCGAACAGCAGTGAGAGAATAGCCGAATGCTGCCGAGCGGCATTCAGCTCGGCTATTCTGCTCGGTCCCTCTGTGGGACCGAGCAGAATAGCCACTGTGCGTTCCTTACATTTGACCTCTGCACCCTGTGCATTCCTTACATCTGACCTCTGCACCCTGTGCGTTCCTTACATTTGACCTCTGCACACTGTGCGTTCCTTACATCTGGCCTCTGCAGCCTGTGCGTTCCTTACATCTGGCCTCTGCACCCTGTGCGTTCCTTGCATCTGGCCTCTGCACCCTGTGCGTTCCTTAGATCTGGCCTCTGCACCCTGTGCGTTCCTTACATCTGGCCTCTGCACCCTGTGCGTTCCTTACATCTGGCCTCTGCACCCTGTGCGTTCCTTGCATCTGACCTCTGCATGGTACTTCCTTAGGGTTAGGATTTTGCGTATAGTTGTTTGCATTTTCTTCCATTATGGGTGTAAGTGGGGGCCTCACGTTTGAGTTTCGCCTAAGGCCTCACAAAGTCTAGAGCCGCCTCTGCACGCACCGACAAAATGCTGATGGGAGAGTTGACTTCTATAGAGAGAGGCCGGGTATTTTTGCAAATCCCATACTATTCCACCTGCACATGTCCTGCAATGCATTTTGTATGTTCACTTTTGGCACTTTGATGAACGTGCCCATGTGTTTGCTGCCCAGGCAAACTGTGAACAATCAAAGTGTGTGGAGAACCCTGCATTTTCTCCACTAGACGGAGCCGAGGAGCATAGGGATTAAATAGGGCTCCACCACTGTCCTGAAATCATTGGTCTGTATTGTTTTATAAAAACTGTCACATGACACTAAACAAAAATGTATCAGTACTCGTACTTGAAAAAATGGTATCAGTGCATCCCTTATATTCTATATTGCCTAAAGTATTGGGACGCCCCTCCAAATCATTGGATTAAGGTGTTCCAATCCTCTCCATGGCCACTGGTGTATAATATTGAGGCACCCCGGCATGCAGACGCTTCTACAAACATGTGTGAGAGAATGGGTTGCTCTCAGGAGCTCAGTGACTACAGGCGTGGTACCGTTATAGGTTGTCACCTGTGCAAAAAGTCCATCCGTGACATTTCCTTGCTACTGAATGTTCCGCGGTCACCTGTTACTGGTATTATAACAAAGTGGAAACAACTGGGAACAACAGCAACTCAGCCAGGAAGTGGTCGGCCACGTAAAATGACAGAGCGGGGTCAGCGCATGCTGAAGCGCACAGTGCGCAGACGTTGCCAACTGTCTGCAGAGTCAATAGCTACAGACCTCCAAACTTCGTGTGGCCTTCAGATTGGCACAACAACAGTGCGTAGAGAGCTTCATGGAATGGGTTTCCATGGCCGAGCAGCTGCATCCAAGCCTTACATCACCAAGTGCAATGCAAAGCGTGGGATGCCGCGGTGTAAAGCGCGCCGCCACTGGACTCTAGAGAAGTGGAGCCGTGTTCTCTGGAGTGACCAATCACGCTTCTCTGTCTGATGGGCGTGTCTGGGTTTGGTGGTTGCCAGGAGAACGGTACTTGCCTGACTGCATTGTGCCAAGTGTAAAGTTTGGTGGAGGGGCGATTATGGGGAGGGGGTTGTCTTTCAGGGGTTGGGCTTGGCCCCTTAGTTCCAGTGAAGGGAACTCTTAAGGCATCAGCACACCAAGACATTTTGGACAATTTCATGCTCCCAACTTTGTGGAAAGGCCGGCGTCCCAATACTTTTGGCAATATAGTGTATATAGTTACATTACATTATTATATATAAAAACATCAGTTTACAGCTTTATAATATTAAAATAAAATCAACCCAACCCAACACCATCACAGTGTCCCTTTAATTTATCCTTACAAAGGACATACATCCAAGTTAGCAATTATATATTTATTAATTACAAGCATTTCATTTTGTGTTCAGGTTACTTGTCGTACAGATGAAGCCTATTTTCTTCTGGAAAGCCATTTTGATGTCCTTGTTCCTCAGGCTGTATATAATGGGATTCATCATGGGGGTTAATACTGTGTATAACATGGCCACCAAAGAGTCCACGTCGGATGAGTAGGAGGCTGTTGGACGAATGTACATGAACATAATGGGCAAGAAAAATATATTGACAACTGCAAAGTGGGAGGCGCAGGTAGAAAATGTTTTCTTACGGCCACCATGGGAACTGATTTTGAGGATCGCTATTATAATCTTAATGTAAGATATGACAATTAGAGAAAAGCTTGACAAAATGATTAAGGCGCCAACAGAAGACCCCACAGCTACATTGAAGGATGTATTGGCACAAGCCAGCTGGAGCAATGGAGGATGATCACAGTAGTAATGGTGGATGATATTGGGACCACAAAAAGGTAACTTTAAGGATAGAAGGGTGGCTGGGAGTGGAGTGGCAAAGCCTCCAGACCAGGCTACAATTGAAAGTATTATGTAAACTTTTCTTGTCATGATGGTGTGGTAGTGTAAGGGCGAGCATATTGCTATGTAGCGATCATAGGCCATTACGGCTAGGAGTAAACACTCTGTTGCTCCTAAAGTCAGGAAAATATACATCTGGGCAAAGCAGGCATTGTAGGAAATGGTGTCCAGGTTCATCAGGAACTTGGCCAACATCTTCGGGATGGTTACCGAGGTGTAACTCATGTCTATAAAGGACAAGTTGCTGACAAAGAAGTACATTGGGGTATGGAGATGCTGGTCAAAGATGACCAAGAAGAAGATAATGCCATTGCCAGACACGGTGAAGAGGTAGATACAAAGTAATACACAAAAAAGCAAAATCTGGTAATTCTGAAGGAACGGGAATCCGAAAATGACGAATTCCGTCACACGGGTGAAAGTTACATTGGCAGACGCTACTGATAGCTCATCATATTCATTGACCTAGATATGAAATAAAGAAGAATGTGGGATTATCATGATATTTTTGGAATTCAACCAAAGCTATAATAATAATTGTTTTAAGACAATTGGCTCCAGTCAAACTTTAACACAAGTTTAAAGGAGAACTATGGGGTAAGTGTTTTCCCCATAGTTCTCCTAAGGGTCATGGGAGGA